GTAACAAAATTATAAAATACTTATGAATAAATCTAACACAAAAAATGTAAAGACCTTCATGGAGAAAATTAGGTACAGTGCCTAAACTGGACTAAACTCTGCTGTCCCATATGGCAGCCACTATGCTCATGTGGCTATTTAAATTTCAATGTAAACCAGTTAAAAGTAAATTGCATTCAGACTTCAGTTCCTTAGTCATCTTAGCCTCATTTCCACTGCTCAATAGGCACATGTGGCTAGTGGCTAACCTGTTGGACAGTGTATAGACCATGTCCATCATCACAGAAAATTCTGTTGGACAGCACTGGACTAGAATATGTCCATCCATCACATAAACTTTCCATTAGAATGCAACCATTTATACTACACTACTTATGTTATACTCTCATAAAGGGCAGCATGACTTAGTAAGCAGTTGTAAAGTTTGTTTACCTTCTAAGAGTTTGCAGGGGATATTTGTCTTTTGGAGGGAGCAGGATTTGCTTAGCATCTGAAGACCCTTCTGATGTTTAGGGAATCAATTATTTTGTGAGTCTTTTCATTATAAAAGTCCCAAAGGAAAAATATTTGCTTTTTCAGTACCCTGGCAACAAAAATAAAGACACGAGACCCAGGACTAGCCAATCAGATACTCCCTTTGAAGATCTGAGTCTTGGGCAACAACACACAGATGCTGGATTAGCTCAGAGTTCATTCTGGCACAAGTAGTTGTGGCCTCTAGTATTTAATGACCACCAATGGTGCCAATAGCAGTATCCAATACCTAACAGTGACAGCATCTTAAGCCATTCATGGTCCACCCTTGGCGAAGCCTCAGCCTTCTGGGTTCCCTTTGGTTCCCACCCACATTCAAACTCAATACTCCAGCCTTGACTCTAAGAGATATCCAGTATCTCCCCAATAAATTCATTTTCTAAATTATAATGAGTTGATGCCTTTATTTGCAACTACAAATGCTGAGTAATACAAGGTTAAAATGTATCTTATAGATCATCTAGTCCAAGCTTATTGTAATTTATAATATAAATACAGGCAAGTGGAATCACATCTCTCTTAACACAACGCATCTGTCAACTTAGGCTAAGCTACACTGTGGTAAAAAAAAAATCTAAGTGGCTTCAAAAACAAAGATTTATTTCTCACCTGGGTGTCCAATATGGGTCAACTGTGATTCCATTCCATGTCACCTTCTTTCTGGACCCAAGCTAATGAAGCTCAGCCTCTGTCTGGATAAGCCTCTGTCTGATATATTGTGAATCTGATATATTGAGAGAAAAGGAACCAAAATAAAACCCGTGCTGGCTCTTAAAGCACCACCCAGAAGTGACATTCATCATTCCCTCCCATATGTCATTAACCAAAGGAAGTCACACATTGGGCTGTATAATCAGGAGGGGCAGTGCAAATCATATGGCAGAGCCTGATCTGAGGAATGTGGTGTCCTAGAATCCACCCACTGGCATGACATTTAATATTTGAACAATAAATAATACAATATAACACAACTCGTATGACACAGGACTTTGTTGTATTTAATCTGGTAAGTTTCAAATTCTATAGCATGAATGAAATACATTTATTTTGAATAAATTACTTTTCTGGAGATTGGGTTTGATCAGATTTATTAAGGTTAGATGCAGTGCTTCTAAAGTGTGGGGTAGCTATACACACAGCTGAAACATGCTCATATTGAAATTCCACTCTACTTTTAAGTAAAAATCTATTTTGTAAAAATTGCATTAAGCATCTACCAACCCCAGAGTTAAACCTTGGGGCTTTGAGGGATACAAACATAACTAAGACCTGCACAGGGAACTTGATGGACAATTAAAGGGAAAAACATGTCCACAAATAATATAAAGCAGTGATAAGATAGAGGAGAGATACAATAGAGAAAGTTCATAGGATGGGCTAAGTATGGAATTCCCTAGCCTAGAGATATAATGGAATTGTGTAGGGAGGGAACTATTTTTCAACAAGCCATACAATCAAATACAATCAAATAATTTTATGTCACATATTTTATACAATAATTTTATACCACCAGTATGTGTGTTTGGGAGGAGACATATAGGGGAGAAAAAAATTGATCCAACTTGCTAAAAATTCCTAACTTTCATCCTTACTAAACATGATGGTTTTAGTAATGAAATTTGATTGAACTCTTCTTTGCTAAATAAATTAAGAAATTAGGGGAAAATATTCTTACTTCCTTTTTCTTAAAAATAAAAATCTTGTGACCTTTTTATCTTGTAGCTATCAATGAGTATTTTGCTTTCAAAATGTCAAGTTTTGCATGTGATTAATCAAAAATAATTTTTGACACAAATGTTTGAAGGAGTATAATTGCGACAAGTATAAATGTCAAGTTATTTATGCAAATTCAGTTAAAGATGCACTTTAACTAAAGGTCAGTACAGTTTCTTTGGTTAGTAAAATATAGTTTACTTCTTGAGTTTAAAAAAAAACAGTTCATGTGAAAGAAGCCAGACACAAAAGGCCACATATTGTATGATTCCATTTCTATGAAATGTCCAGGATAGGCAAATCCATAGGGACAGAAAGTAGATTAGTGGATGCTAGGGGCTGGAGGGAGGGGGGAATGGAGAGTGACTGCTAACTGGTACCTGGTTTCTTCTTGGGGTAATGACAAATTCTAGAATTAGATAATGATCATAATTGAAGAACTTTGTGAAAATACTAAAAACCACTGAATTGCAACACAAAATAAATTCACATAAACTTGCAAAAAACGACTTGTAAGTTGCAAATAGTGTTTATATATATGATTTGGGGGAAATTATTTCCCAAGGGCCACTTCTAAAATTGCTAACATATAGGCAAGTACAGTCTGTAATACATGCTAATGGATAATTAAGTCAACAACAACAAACAATTTAGTAACCTCTTCTAACTATATTTCTCTTTTTTTTCTTTTTCTTTTTTAACAATAAATCTTGGTGAGAACTAACTATATTTCTTATTAAATACTTGCAGGCTCTTCTGGCAAGTAAAACAATGAACAAATCGAATTTTATTTTTGATCTCTTTTTCTTTTTTCTTTATTTCTGTGACAATGTTATAGAACACTAAAATAGAAAATGACCCACAAAAAAGGGGAAAAGTATAATACAACTAGATAATTATATTAGATTTAGGCATACATGGCCTAAGATTTTATAGTATATGTGACATTTACTTAAAGATACTGTGTATTATAACATGAAGAAGAAAAGCTCCAAAATATTCTGGAAAAAAAAAATGCTGTCTTCTTTCCAATTCTCCATTCTTTCCACTCTCAAACTGTTTTGTCTGTCATAAACTACAATCACTCCCTCTGAACTTATTTTTAATACTTTACATAAATATCTGTATGTTTTGATATGTCATATTCCTGGCTCTTCCAGTTTTCTTGGGTTCATTCATTTGAAAAATATTTGTTGAGGGCTTTCTGTGTGCCAGAAACTATTCTGCGGGTTGGAGATAAGCTGTGAACCAAAATGACAAAAATCTCTGACCCCATGGAGTTTACATTTTAGTGAGAAGAGACAGACAACAAACAATATAAAAAAGCCATGCATTGTATTTGAGTGGTGAATAAGCTCTATTAAAAAAAGAAAAACAGAAACGGTGCTTAGGAACGTAGGAAGTGGCCAGGGAAAGCCTCACTGCCCAAGGTGATATTTGAACTAGGGCTGGAGAGAGGTAAGTTAAGTCATTAGGAATCTGGAGTAAGAACATTCCAAGCAGAAGCAACAGCCAGTGCAAGGGCCCCCTGGCAGGAGTGTGCCTAGCATGGTCAAAGAGCAGCAAGCAGAACAGTGTGACTGAGTGCAGTCTCTAGCAAGGGGGGATGTAGTAGGCCAAGAGCTCAGAAAGGTAAGGGGGGAGGGAGCAGATTAATGAGGCTTTAATGGCCACTGTAAGAACTTTGTCTTTCTCTGACAGAAGCCAACAGTTTTGAGCAAAGGGATGATGATCTGATTTGCATATTTCCCAAGATCACTTTGGTTGTTGTGTTGGAAATATATTTAGGAGGCAAGAGTGGAAATCAGGCAACCACTTAGCAGTTGTATGTGTATGACAAATAGTCATCAAAGTGACAATTAGCTATCCAGGTAGGGATGCTGGCTTAGAACCAGGATGGTGGCAGAGAACATAATCTGTGATCTGATTGTGGATATTTTTGAACACTGTTATTGAGATAGAGTTTACATACAGTAAAATTCACTTGTTTTAAGGGTGCAATTCAGTGATTTCTGAGCAGATTTACAGAGCTGTTCAGCCATCATCACAATCCAATTTTAGAGCAATTCTATCATCCCAATAGGATCTCTTGTGCCCATCTGTAGTGGCTCCGCTTTCCCACCACCAGCTCCACGTAACCATAAATCTACTTTCTATCTCTATGGATTTGCTTATTCTGGACATTTTATATAAGTGGAGTCATATGTGGTCATTTGTAACTGGCTTCTTTCAGTTAGTAAATGTTTCCAAATTCATCCATGTTGTAGCATGTATCAGTACTTCATTCCTTTTTATTATGGAATAGTATTTTTTTGAATGGCTATACCATATCTTGTTTAACTTTATCCACCAGTTGATGGACATTTGGGTTGTTTCCACTTTTTGGCTATTATGAATAGGGTTGTTATGGACTCTCACATATGAGCCTGTGTGAATGTATGTATGTTTTCATTTCTCTTGTGTACATACCAAGATGTGGAATTGATGTGTTGTATAGTACATTTATGCTTAACTTCTTAATGAACTGCCAAACTGTTTCCCAAAGTTGCACTATTTTACATTCCCACCAGCGTTGTACAAAGACTCTAATTTCTACACATCCTCATCAACACTCATTATTTTCCATATTTTTTATTATTGCCATCCAAGTGGGTGTAAAGTGGTGTCTTGTGGTGGTTTTTTTTTTCCGGAGTATTATGGGGGTACAAACGTTTTAGGTACATAAATTGCTTTTGTACAGTTTGAGTCAAAGTTTTAAGTGTGCCCATCACCCAGATAGTGTGCATTTTACCTGTTAGGTGTGAATTTACTCATACCCTCCTCTTCTCTACTACCTGCTTGATTTTCGATGAGTTTTATTTCCATATATGCACATAAGTGTTGTTCGATTAGTTCCAATAGTGATCACGGTGATTTTGATTTGTATTTCTCTAAGGACTAACCATGTTGAGCATTTTTTCATATGCATGTTGGCCATTTCTGTGGCTTCTTTGATCTTTGGTGAAGTGCCTAATCGAATCTTTTGCCCATTTTTAAATTGGACTTTTGGAAATATATTTCAAATACAGACGATAAGATTTGCTGATTGATTGGAAAGGTGATGTGAAAGAGAGGACTCAATGATGACTCCAAGGTTTTTACTCAATGTACACAAATATGCAGTTCCCATTAAGTGGAGAAGCAGGTGTTGGAGAGAAGATTGGGAGTTTGATTTTAAACATGTTAAATTTGAGATGCTCATTAGACATCCAAGTAGAGTTTTCAAGTTGGCCATTAGATTTCTGGGTCTGGAATTCAGAGGAGAGATGTAAGTCTCAAGATAAACAGAGGGGAGTCATTGGCATATAGATGGTGTAGAAAGCCATGGAACTAGAGATCACCGAAAGAGCCAGTGTAGATACATGGGGTCCAAGGACTACATTGTGGAACACTCCACAGTTAAAAGGTCAGGAAAGTAAAGAGGACCCAGCAAATAATGCTGAGACAGAGTGGCCAGTGAGAGGGAAAACCAGGGTGATTGCAACCCGCTGTGAGCCACATGGAAAAGTGTTCTCAAGAAGGAAGCAAGCATGTCAAATGCTGCAGATAGGTTTTGAGGCTGAGAACTGTTTCCTGAATTTAGCGATGTGGAGGGCGGAGGTCATTGGTGACTGATACAAGTGGAGAGACAGATGTTAGCTAAGCACTTGGGCATTTCCTCACAGGCCCAGCTGCTGTGGACAGGACAGCATTTCTGAAATGTTAATATGCACAAGAATCACTGAGAACTTTGTGAAAATGTAGATTCGGATTCAAAAGATCTGGGGTGGGGCCCATGTTTCTATATTTGCTCCCAGGTGATGCTGACACTGCTGACTTGAGGGCCTCACTATGAGGAGTAATAGTGTATAGGGTGATTTCATCTGCAGTTATTACAACAATTCTTTTCTGATTATAGAGCTAACCAGGAACATAAATGTCAACTGCTTGGGCTTGATTCTAGAGGATTTTCTATTTTCCTCTAGGTTTAATATCATTGATAGTTCAGCTCAGATCTGCGGCTTCAGAAATGGGGAAGAAACATGAGGAACAATGATTTGGGATCCCTGCTTAGCCCTGTGAGCTGTGTGAATGCAGGTTCTAAACAAAACCGCAACGACAGCTTCAAAGGCACTGGGAGACTCCCTCTTTATCTGTTGGTGATCTGGCTGTGGCCTCCTGAAAGCCCCCTTTGAGGAAGACTGCCATTACATGTATGAGTAAATTGGAACACTAAAGATTCAGAATGACTCATTGGGATATATAACCACTAGAGATCCTGTCTCCAATTGCCTCCCTCAGTTCGATAACTTAAATAATGAGTGATGGAAATGGTGAGTCATGCTCAAAGGAGGTTTATTAAGCCAAAGTCTAAGGACACACCGGGGATAAGCACAGGTCACAAATGTATCTGTGGCCTGGGCTCTCCTCTAGGGATTTGGAAACAGGGTATACAAAGGAGAAGGCTGTACAGAAGAGAAAGGAGATGGGAGGGGTAGGCAGTGAGGCAAACGGGGTTACATTCTTGTGAGGCTTTAATTAGTGCTCAGTAAGTCTACATTTTACATAAGATAAGGTGAACATTCCAAAAGGGAGTAGGGGAAAGAGAATGAGTTATGTAGTCTTCTTCAGAGTGGGCAGAGGAGTGGCTGATCTCATGTGTCTTTGGTTCACATCTGTGGAGACAAACTTGCAATTGACATCTCAGTGTGAAACTTCACAGAACTCAGGATCAAGGATTTATTTAGGTTGTAGCTCTAAGGTTGTAATTGTCATGTGCATGTTTTATAAGGGCCATATACCCTGAAAGGTTTAGGGCTAACTAGGCAATTCCTGTAAGCAATCTGTGAGGAGAGCCATCTGGACAGGCAAAGGACCTTTGTCGTGATGGGAACCTGACTTCCGCATAAATCACAGCTATTTGTTTTGGCGATAGGATGGCAGTGCTGTGGGATTCAGTTCTCAGGCTCAGTCTCCCTTATGGCATTAGGGTTTGGGGGATCCCGAGATTTTATTTTTCCTTTATAAGTTCATACAATTTTCTGGTAACAGCTTTATTCACGTACCAGACAATTCACCCATTTAAAGCGTACAATTCAGTGGTGTTTCACACATTCATAAAGATGTGCATCCATCACTACCATCAATTTTAGAACATTTTTATCACCCTGTGCCCTTGAGCTGCTGTCTCATTTTTAAATGCTCGTAGACATCCACTAAATTGGAAGCTTTCTGCTCAGCAGTTTGTGAGATTTCACAAAGCTGGGGGACAAAAGTCCATCTGTTGAAAGAAAACAAAACTGTAGAAATATATTGAACATTACCGAATTTCTTAAAAAAAAAAAAAACTGTAGAAATAGAAATCCTCAGTCTGAAAAGACACTAAAGAAAAGACAAGATGGCCTAGTGGACTCATAAATGCCAACATGCAGTCCACATTGAACCTTTGAGTCCTTTACTGTTAAATACAGGTGAACGCTGACTTCAGCTTTTCCGATCGACACATAAATTCACGCACTGTGGGTAAGAGCTATTAGGGACAATCGCCTGGCTGGGCAGTGGTTGGTAAAAGAAAACAAAAACTGGCTTTGCAGCTTCCGTGTCTTCTTCAGTCATTGCCAGACAGGCAGGTTAGGTGGAATCCAGCCAGATGACTCAGGGCCTCACTCAGGGTACCTTGGAGATTTCTGAATTTTTTGTTTCAGTACACAGGGGAAATTTAGCAGGTTGTGATACCACTGTGATGACTTAAAAGCAGCTGTGGGGGAGCTATCTATGTTCATGTTTACACACATTTCAAAAGTGAGCACTGGCTATTCCAAAAATAAAAAGTAAAGTTTTTGAATGAGTGATATTTTAACTTGCTTAAATTAGATCTGTAACTTGTCCATGGCTGTTTTAGATTTTTAAAAAATATCTGTCATTGGCCGGGCGTGGTGGCTCACGCCTGTAATCCTAGCACTCTGGGAGGCCGAGGCAGGAAGACTGCTTGAGGTCAAGAGTTCGAAACCAGCCTGAGCAAGAGCAAGACCCCGTCTCTACTATAAATAGAAAGAAATTAAATTGGCCAATTAATATATATAGAAAAAATTAGCCGGGCATGGTGTTGCATGCCTGTAGCCCCAGCTACTCGGGAGGCTGAGGCAGGAGGATTGCTTGAGCCCAGGAGATTGAGGTTGCTGTGAGCTAGGCTGACGCCATGACACTCACTCTAGCCTGGGCAACAAAGTGAGACTCTGTCTCAAAAAAACAACAAAAAAAATCTGTTATCATTTAAAAATGATTAATGACTACTTGGAACATACTCCAATTTGTATCTTGTTTATGTTTTTATTTATTTATTTATTTGAGATGGAGACTCACTCTGTCACCCAGGCTAGAGTGCCGTGGAGTCAGCCTAGCTCACAACAACCTCAAACTCCTGGGCTCAAGGGCTCCTCCTGTCTCAGTCTCCTGAGTAGTTGGGACTACAGGCATGCATCACTGTGCCCAGCTAATTTTTTCTATTTTTAGTAGATACGGGGTCTCACTCTTGCTCAGGCTGGTCTTGAACCCCTGACCTGAAGTGATCCTCCCACCTCAGCCTCCCAGAGTGCTAGGATTAATGGCACATCATCAAAACTCACTGTAACCTCCAACTCCTGGGCTCAAGTGATTCTCTTGCCTCAGCCTCCCCAGTAGCTGGGACTATAGGTGTGCGCCACTACGCCCAACTAATTTTTTCTATTGTTAGTAGAGATGGGGTCTCATTCTTGCTCAGGCTGAGCAAGACGCCACTTGTTTACATTTTTAAAAAAGCAAGAATATGTCCAACAAATTTATTTTAATTCCATTTTTTTGACTCTCCATCCTGTAGGGCACTCATGATAATTTAACAAAGGATGTGGCATGGCTTGGCTATTTTTTCATAATTGATTGTTATTTCCCTAGGTAATACAAGCAGAACATGAAGATAGAAAGGCCCTCTATTTTATAGAAAATAATATTTGAAACTGCATTTACAAATTTATAGCCTTCAAATTCATAAAAAATATAAACATGTAAATGTCTCTTAAAAAGCTACACATTCTTATATTTTAAAAATCTAATATTTAAAAAATTACTCACTTTCAGAAGGCCAGATAAACCACATAGATGCCACAAGAAGGTTGGGGAAGTTTCCCGTGTCAGTAGAGCCAGCAACCCATGCCAGGTGGTCCCACCCAATCTCTCCTTCATTGGGAGGAATGTACAGCACCAGGCCAAGGGGGAGTCCATAAACCCTACGTCCTTGTCACTGAAAGAACCACAGTTACAAAACAGCTGCACCTTGCATGGAATTAATGGGAAGCCTGGTGTTGTTTCTGGAAGCAAACTGATAGGCAAAACAAACACCATTCCCCCTCCAAGGAACCCACCTGCATTATTATGAGGGAGTCCTGGCTTTGTCCCTGTGTACCCTTGGGCATGTAATTTAATCTCTGTCAGCCTCCGTTTCCTCACCTCTAAAATGCTGTGTGGCAGGGTAGTTGTGAAGATTAAATGAGATGCTGTATATAAAGTGTCAGGAATCTAGCAAATATGGCGTAGGAGTACACTTTCCCCCTTCTTCTGCCTGGCCATCTTCCTCTCAAGATCTGCCGTAAGGGTCAAGGCCTCTAAAACCTTCCCTGACCCTCCCATGAGGGGTTAGTCTTCTTCTGGGGTCGTCTGCACCCCTGCCTCTGAGTCCATGTTTCTCTCATAGCTCTTAAAATATAAAAGGCTCTGACTTGGGGGGGAGGGGTGGGTAAGGGCATTATACATAACCTAAATATTTGTACCTCCATAATATGCTGAAATTAAATATATATATATATATATATGGATTTCTAGCTACATTGCATGGCACTTCCCCTAAATTTTGTGGGTCTTGAGGCCTGGGACAGCGTCTTAATCATCTCTTTGCCCCTAGCACCTGGCAAAGTGTAAAACAACGTACAATCGTAACTGCAGAGCATTTCTGACAACACATGGTAACATCTCTGGAGACCTAATTTTAAATAATAATGCAAATGGAATTATATAAGGTTGTCATCTGTTCTCTCTTTTGACTGTGTGGCTTTTCTGAAAGCAAGAAGGCGCCTTCTATAATCTAGGCACTTACAGTAAGTACCTCTTAGAGATAAAAAGAATAACTATTTTAGCAAAATATTTTGCATTTACTGGGAAGTTATAAATAACAAAGCAATCTGACCTAGAAGATGAAGGCCTAGCCCTTGCCAAGACCGTGGCCCACTGCCAGCTGCAGGCTTCCTGGCTGGTATTGAGAAATGGCAACAGGGAATGAAAGGAGCTTCTCATCACAGGAAGTGCTCAGGGAAGAGACAGAGCTGCAATTGTATCCAATGTTTTATCTAAAAAAAGTAACAGGGACAAAAGGAGAGTGATGTGGGAAAACCCATCAAGAGAGCCCTCCTACATTCAGGTATAACAACTGATGTTTATGCTCTATGAAGTGACTCTTGGTAACTATGGCAACCAGAATATAGGATATACTTGTTTTGTGCTGAATTTCTGTACTGTTTTTTTTTTTTTTTTTTATGGGTCTCGGGTAGGGAATTTTGGGTTAGGTATATTTTATGAAACATGCATTTGCAAAATTGCCAAGGACTTTGTTGACTATAAGGATTCAGGGAAATTAGTCTTTGTGTACTTTTACTTGAAGCCAGTTATGTGACAGTTGGCTCATTGCAACAGCCACCTAACTGGTGTTCCTGCTAACCAGAGAGCTGGTTAGGCTAGTTTGGGGTCTTACACTGCATCCATCACTGCCTCCCTCCCCATGTAATGCAATATAGCAGCCAAAGTGATCCTTTCTAAAAGGCATTCAAATCTCTTCACCACAAACTCCCCGGCTTCAGTGGCTTACCATTATGCTTTATAAAAAAATCCAAAGTCCTTATCATGACCTACAAGGGCCCTCATGATGGCTTCTTTGACTTTCTTTCTCACCTTTCTCCCCCTTGCTTAGTGCACCTCAGCTGTGGTAGACTCTTGCTGTACCTTGGCTATGCCGAGCACTCTCTGATCTCAGGGCCTTTGCACTTGCTGTTTCTGTAAAAGTGATTGATTATTTACTTATTTATTATTTAGAGACACAGTCTCATTCCGTTGCCCCAGCTAGAGAGCAGTGGCATCATCATAGCTTACAGTAACTTCTAACGCTTGGGCTCAAGTGATTCTCCTGCCTTAGCCTCCCCAGTAGCTGGGATTATAGGTGTGTGCCACCATGCTCAGCTAATTTTTTTTATTTTTAGTAGAGATTGGGTCTCATTCTTGCTCAGGTTGGTTTTGAACTCCTGAGCTCAAGTGATCCTCCTGCCTCGGCCTCCCAGAGTGCTAGGATTACAGGCCTGAGCCACCACACCTGGCCTATAAAAGTGATTTTTAAATTAAATACTCTTTACCCCACAAGTAATTTTAAAGAAAAACCCTTTCTTTTTAGGGGATAAGATATAAGATGTGAGAAAAATGATTATCTATAATTAGAAAATGTAATGCTGTCTCACTGACCAAAAGGAAAAAAAATCCATATTACTATTTTCCTATTTCTAGTTACAAAACTCACTGACACAGTTGATACGAAATGAGGAAGACCATGCAGATTTTTATATTTTGGAGAGTAAGGGACTTTCCATTTCAAGTGCTTTTATTTATCTGAAAATTTAGTTTGCAAAATCCCAGCATAAAAACTATACACCATACATAGAATCCCAAAATCAAAACGCAAACAGTGACTAAAATTAATCAAACTTGGTTTTCATGTGTTGTGCCCTTTCAAAACCACTGAATAGTTTTTAAGATCATTCCAAGTCATATGAAACCACATTTTGTGAAACTTGAAGTTTTAGATGACTTTGCAAATTACTCTTTAAAGCACTAACATGTTTGTGTCACAATAAACAGCCCTGAGAAGCCACAGGGAGAAAAGACATCAAAATAGAATTCACCCTTGATGTTCTCAAGCCAATTTCTTCAAAATCATTTGAAAACACAAATATATTTTAGTTTTATGCACCTTTTGGGGGAATTCAGTCATGTGGCCAGTAAAATATACATATGGTTAGGCCTTCAGAAATCCAACAAAGGAAGTTAGGAGAGTTAGGAAAAAAGAACTGGTGAAAAAGTGAATATGTGTAGGTTTGTAGATAACTTGGAGGTAAATTTTTTAAAACTATAAAAACAATATACCTTCTATGACTTTTTCTTTTCTTTTTTTTTAAGACAGAGTCTCACTCTGTTGCCCAGGCTAGAGTGCCGTGGCATCAGCCTAGCTCATGGCAACCTCCAACTCCTGGGCTCAAGCGATCCTTCTGCCTCAGCCTCCCAAGTAGCTGGGACTACAGGCATGTGCCACCATACCTGGCTAATTTTTTTTTTCTATTTTTGGTAGAGACGGGGTCTCACTCTTGGTCAGGCTGGTCTCAAACTCCTGAGCTCAAGTGATCCTCCCTGCCTTGGCCTCTCAGAGTGCTAGGATTATAGGCGTGAGCCAACGCGCCCGGCCTCTATGATTTTTTTAAAGAAAAAAATTAGCCATAATTACATAAAAAGCTTGTGTTTAAACAAATATATAAATTGGTTAAACACTGTTTGCAAAGGCCTCAAAGAAGTAATTTCCTCTTCAATTCATTTATTAGATAAACGTTGGTAGATTCAAAGGCTGAGGTGATGGACTTTTTCTGACAGATTAATGCCCATTTTCACATAAGCAGAATTTGAACTTCAGACCTAACACACATGCCCTTGAGAACATGAAGGCTCCTAACATTAGAAACTAAATATCATAGTTAAAGGGCTTATATACCCTGCAGAACTTTTGCAAAGAAAAAAAAAATACAAAACTCCTTCAACTAAGCAAAAAGGCTCTAAACAAAATTCTAACTCTATGGGATGAGTTACAGGGTAACTTTCATGGATGAAGTTTCCTCACCTGTAAAGTGAGGAAAGAGAGGGGAAAAGAATGAAGCTCTACCCAGTTTTAAAGCCTAAAGATACTATTCATTCAGTTCCCCATCTCCAGGAAGACATTTCTCAAAAGTCAATATTGAGCCAGTCTTGGACAGTGAATTTACAGGAAGAAAATCTGGGATCTGTTCGAGTTATTTACCGTTGTGTAGCTTGGGCAGGTCACTCCATCTCTGTGAAGTGTCCAGAATGGCACTCTTTTCTTAGACCTATAAAAAGGATCAAATGAGAGCCTATTTATGAGTAGTTCTCAACTCTGAAACTTAAAATAACTTGAGGAATGAAAAAAGCAATGTTGATGCCTGGGTCCCATCCCACAGGTTCTGACTGAATTGATCTAAGGTGGGCCCTCAGCACCCTGGGGAGTTTCAAAGATCCCCAGATGATTCTAATATTACAGCAAGCGCTGAGAACCACAGGCCTATTGCTAAAGCAGTGCTTCTTGGACTATTCTGAAAGATCACCTGGGGATCCTGCCAAAATTCAGATTCCGATTAATTGGTGCCGGGCCTGAGAATCTGCATTTCTCACAGGCTCCTAGTTATGTTGAGCTGTTCTCAACCACACTCTGTGAGTACAGCAAGATACTAAATGGCCACAAAACACTATGCAAATAGTTATCCACTCTCTCCCCAAACTATAACTTTTAGTGATGGTGGGGTGAGCATCAGCTAATGCCTTTCTTTCCTTCTTCTGTTTTAAGATTAGTGCATATAAAATTTTTTAAAACAAGCACAGAAGGTTTATACAAATAAAAGGTATCACTCCGCTCTGTGTGGTAGTTCATGCCTATAATCGTAACACTCTGGGAGCCTGAGGCAGGAGGATTGCTTGAGCTCAGGAGTTCGAGACCAGCCTGACCAAGAGCAAGACCCTGTCTCTACGAAAAATATAAAAAATTAGCTGGGCATAGTGGCGCGTGCCTGTAGTCCCAGGTACTCAGGAGGCTGAGGCAGGAGGATCACTTGAGCCCAGGAGTTTGAGGTTGCTGTGAGCCAGGCTGATGCCACTGCTCTCTAGCCTGGACGACAACAGAGCAAGACTGTCTCCAGAAAACAAAAACAAACAGGAAAAAAATGTATCAGTCAAAGCACAACCCACTTGCTATGGTACCACTGTTCCCCACATTCATTACAAATTACATAGGTCATCATTTGTTCATCTGGGTTTGAATTCCGCACCCAACTTGGAAGAAAAAGTGTTCCTCTGGCAATTACAGTGACCTTGCAATTGTATTTCTCACAGCGCTTGCATTTTATTTTGTTTGTCTGTGTGCCATCCATCGCTTGGGGAAGATAATGCTCCTGGATACAAGATTCCGTGTAGGAAGCTCTCAACTGCTTCAGCTCCTTGTTTGCCATCTCCATGACAGTCATTTCAGCAAACTCTCTTGGAGACATGGTCCCAGAGAGCAAGTTTTGTTGTAAATGAGAATTTCTGGGGTTCTTCAAATTGGCAACTTTGCTTCTGATACAAGTTTTATATTTTTTGATGTTCTTTGAATAAAGGGTAAAAACATGTTCTTCGATTTCTCTTGCAAAGTTCTGCCACACATCAGCTTTGGTCTGGTCTGTGGAAGAACTAGTTAAAGCTGCATAAAGAAGCTCCATGCATTTAGTTCTCATGGGTGTTGTGGGATCCAGCAATTCACTTGATCCTTTGCCAGTGGATTTAAGGTCACTACCCCCAAAATGCTCTTCCTTAGGTTCCACTTGAATAACACTATTTTCAGGCAAAATGATTTTACTGAGTTTTGCAACCTCTTGGGATGATGGCACAGAATTAGAATTGCAGGCACCCAGTATCTCATCCTGACTTGGGTCATCATAAGAAAGTCCTGAATTTTCTTCTTTACTACCACTGGTAGGGAATAATTTAGGGCTGTTCCTTGGTTTGAAGGGAGCATCTTTATAAAGAGCTTTCCACTTTGACAACAAACACTTGGCTTTCTTTTTCAAAGCCACTGATGGGCAGTTTTTGAGGACTCCGTACACAGTTCTGACCACATCTGTCTCCTGGAGATGCTCCTTAGTCACATAAATCGTTTCGAGCTCAGTAAGGTGGTTGCCAAGATCTTCAAAATTCCTTTTAGACATCAGTTGCTCAATAAGGGAAGCTCTGGCAGCTATCTGGCTCTTGTCAGACATACTTACGGCTGCAAAGAAAAATAGGTTTCAGTTTTCTTAAGCTTGCTTTTGCTAGTTGCAGCTTCTAGATAGTAAAATAGCACTTTCTGCCAGTTACCTACATGATGTTTTCTGAAGGAGTTATACAATATAAATGTGTACAACATGTTAGAAAATGGAATCTGCAAGGTGGTATGGTTTAGTTTCAAGAGTCTTATTTTTAGTAGTTAAAAAAAGTGGCATTGCAAAGAGCTTCTTCATAACATCTCCTTAAAAGAGGCTTGCTGGAGGATCTGCTATAGCTTTTCTGCCTCCAATTTTAAAATAAATGATCTTTCTAGATTAAGATTAATGAATTCATTTGGGTGGAATTTGGTGATCCTGTTGTGGATGAAATTACACTGGTGTCAGCATTAATATAGTAATGCTAAGCAATACTGGGCTACATTTTCCCCATATTCAGCTATATAACTGAACTACTTGCTGATTTTATAATATAAAAGAATAAGAAACAGGACAAAAAAAGGGTTTGCTAATAACTTAAGTAATCTAAAGAAACTGTAAGATAGCACAGGTTGGGACTCAGCCAGAGCTAGGTCTCGTGGATCTCCCAAAAGTCAGCAGGCCACACTGTGCTGCCATCTGAGTCTTCTGAAAAAGGCAATGGTTCAGATTCAATGATTCAGATGATTTATGACTTTGGACTAACTAGATCCTACAGAGTTTGGTTTCATTAATTTTTAAAAAACTTTTAAGTATAAAAAGTTGCTCGATGATTATGTCTGTGTGAATCTCATCCTGGGAAGCAAATGTTTACTTTATTCAACAAGTCTATTTTTCTCTCACATAATGTACATAACCTTGCCTACATAATACCCTTGAATCTATATTTGTCTGTCTGGTCTAAATGTGAACATAAGCATCTTGATGGCAGGGGCCCTATCTTTTTCAAAAATCTGTGGGCTCCATTTTATAGCACTTGATATTAAATGACCATCACTGAACATACACAGGCTAACAACACTGAAGTGATTACAGAGAGGATTAATACCATCTTCCTAGAAACCACCTGACAAGTGCCATAAAACATAATGTCCTTTTAGTTGTAATTCTACTTCTATAAATTTACTTTAAGGAAATGAGAGATGTGGAGACTATGTATGTAAGAACTTTCTTCAAACTTAGAAGAAAATGGAAGGCCCCCAAACAGGAGAATGGTTAAAAAAATATATGGCACACTCCTGGTATGATACAATAATAAACCATTTAAGATCATGTTTTTAGAGAATATTTAACAACATGGGAAAATAGTCATAACATTAGGTGAAAACAAATCACAATATAAAACTATATTAACAAACGATTAAACATAATTAGTGTATGATCCAAGAGATCTACCCAAGAGAAATAGAAACATATGTCTTCATAAAAACTTGTACACAAATGTTCATAGCAGTATTATTCACTCATAATAGTCAAAAAGTAGAAAAACCCCAAATGTCCATCAATTCATAAACTGGATAAATAAAATCTGGTTTATCCATATAATAGAATATTATTCAGCCATAAAAAGGAATGAAGTACTAATACATAATACAATATTGATGAACCTTGAAGACATTATGCTAAGTGAAAGAAGCCAGACATAAAAAAACACATATTGTATGATTTCATTTATATAAAATATTCAGAATAGGCAATGTGTAGACACAGAAAATAGAGTAGTGGCTGCCTAGGTTGGACTTCGGGGGAGAGAACAATGGAGTGAAGAGAAAGGAGGAGTGGCTGCTAATGGGTGCAGGGTTCTTCTTGGGGGTTGGTGGCGAAATTCTTCTAAAGTTGATTGTGGTGATGGGTTGCACAACTGTGAATATACTATTAATAAAAACCACTAAAGTCTACACTTTAAATAGGTGAATTGTATGGTGTGTGAATTATACCTGAATAAAACTGTTATTGAAATCTGATCCAAATTTTGTTTTAAAATTCCACGTGAAAAGGCTGAAAAGAGATACACAAAATTTTACAATGGTGTTTTCTGAATGGTAAGATTTTAGGTGATTCTTATTCTTTTACTCTTTTCTGAATTTTCTGTGATGAGCATGTATTGTTCTCATAATAAGAAAAGTTAGTCTAATAGACTTTCATGATAAACTATATGCATTTAAGATATATGCCTACTGAAAAATGGTATGGGAAATGGATCCTTCTACCTTCTTCCTATCTTCCCTCTGGAATGAGAGTATTATCTCTTAAAGGTGGCTACATGGTTAGATGAGGATTCATAATTTCCTCAGAAATTGCTGAATCTCAAACAGTTGCATCACCCCTTAAACTATATCTCAAAAGTACCCTTGGCCACAAATATGAGGTTCCCGCTGGTGTTTCTCTGTGGGGATGGCTCAAAGATGACCGAGTCTTGCATTTTTACCACCAAAGGGGACTGGAATATAGAAAACATGTTTTTTTTTTTTTAAAGTTAGTTTAACACTCAGTTACTCAGTGGGCCCATCAATTTAGGATCTTAAGTAATTAAGGATTTTAAGATAATTTTCCTAATTATTGAGAGACAGTCCTTAAAGATAATTCTTTTTGTTTTTTAAAATTCCACCTTTAAAGACTGAAAATAGTAAAAGAGGTCTTCCTAAGACTCAAAGGCTCAATAAAGAACAGGCAAGATAGCAAAGAAAACTAAGAATTGTTGAATATTTCTCTCAGAATTATCTATTTCAGATCTTGAGGAAGTCACACAGTTATGTCACAATAACAAAGTTTCAATCTGCTCAATATACTTGAGCCCTCCCCCACTTGTTGGAAAATTTCTTTAAAAAGAAGAAACATTCATTCTGCCTGCATTCTATATATACTATTACTGTAGAAATCAGGATTAAGGTTTGCCAAAAGGTGGTTAATAAGAGGCCTAAAGTTAACAAAAAGGTTAAGCAATATTTGACTTAGGTTAGAATTTCTCAGCTGAAGGTCTGAGTTTCAAGGAGATTCTGAAGGGGAATTTTAATTGTAGCTTCAGGGTTTTAGTGGGGTAAGAGCAGCAGTTTGTACTGCCAGCAAAACTTTTTCTTTACTCATGCAAATCTATAGAAGTTAATGTATCCATGTGTAAACATCCAAAAAGCACATTGCTCTTCATTTCATGCTTTTATTTACTTCTCCTTCATATTTGTTTTTAGATTTTAATCTTAGTAAAACATAAAAAACAAAGTTTACCATCTTAACCATTTTTAAGTGTACAGTTCAGTAGTGTTAAGTACATTCACACTGCTGTGTATCCATGTCCAGAACTTCTCTATCTTCTCAAACTGAAACTCTGTACCCATTAAACAACTCCCCATTTCTTCCTTTCCCCAACCCCTGGCAACCACCATTTCACTTTCTGTCTCACTGGATCAGACTATTCTAGGTTCCTCATATAAGTGTAATCATAGTTTTATCCTTTTGTGTCTGGTTTATTTCACTTAGCATAATGTCCTCAAGGTTCATACATGTTACAGCATGTGTCAGCATTTCCTTTCTCTTTAAGGCTAAATAACATTCCATGTCTGAATATACCACATCTTGTTTACCTATTCATCTGTGGATGGATACCTGGGTTGCCTCCACCTTTTGGCTACTGTGAATAATGCTGCTATGAACATAGGCATGCAAATATCTCTTTGAGACCCTGCTTTCAATTCTTTTGAGTATATACCCAGAAGTGGAATTGCTGGATCATACAGTAATTCTATTTTTAAGTTTTTGAGGAACCACCATACTGTTTTCCATTCTCCTTCATACATAAATCCTGTCACCCTTTCTATTCCTCTGTAGGACAATCGTGGATATAAAGCATTTATTGCCCCAGGAGGGTACAACGTTGAAACCACCAGGATACAAAATTTTAAAGACAAAAATAAGCTGTGTGTCCAGTTTAGAGTTCTACATAGTTCATTCCAAATATTTATTTTGAATCTAGTATGTGCTGAATACTGAGCCTAAAGAGATAGTCTCTGCCTTGAGGGAGCTGACAGCCTAGTAGTAGAAGGAATACAGATAAGAAACTGGCCGATTACAACACATGTGGTATTTCCACATAGACAGGCACCGGCTGCTGGGGTAAATGCACAGGAGGGCACCAAACCCTATCTGGGCTCTCCATCATGTGGCTAGCAACAATCGCTTTTTACACTGTCTTCACCCTGATTTGTGGCACTTTGTTAGAAGGATTACCCGCTGATAGAGATCTCAGCAAGATATTCCCTCGTTTGCCTGCTTAAAAAATCTTCAGAAGCTCCCCTCTGCTCTGAGGATGGAGCCCAAGCTCCATGGCCAGGTGATGAGAAGCACCTCCCCGGCCTCCCCCTTGACTACTCTCAACCACAAAGGACACAGCTCAGTGCCTCTGCTCCAGCAGCTCCCTAAGCCTGGCTGATCTCTCACCACTGGTGGTTCTCAACGCTGGCTGCATATTAGAATCATCTGGGGAAACTAAACAACAAAAAACAAAAACAAACAATGCCAGGGCCTCATCGCAGATAGAATGAATTAAAATCCCTGAGGGTAGGACCTGTGTATTGGTTCAGCTCTCCAGATGATTCTGATTTAAACCACACACAGGCGCCCCTGCCCCTTGCCAGCAGTACCTCCCAGTGAGGCTGCCATCAGCCCCAAAGACAGCTCTGGTCCTGTTCCTGGACTGAATGCACAGCACCTCTCTGACTTTGGATTCTGCTAGATGAGTCTTCTTAAATCAGAAAATATTAAAAACACTTGTTGTGTATAACACCCCCAAAAACCTTTTCTACAAACGACAACTGGTGACTGTAACGTTTTAAGAGTCACGATGTACGGAATTCCCTATACTCCCTTCCTCACTTACCTCTTCACAGGAAGATAATACACATTCATTGAGCAACTGTCCATGCCATGCACACTCCTGTCACCTCAATCATCACAATAATCCCACAATACAGATATGGCTTATCTTCACCTTACAGGTGAAGAAACCTGTTAAAAACATCAAATAATTTGTACATTGTGTTTATTCACAGTGTTTATCACATTTAGAAAACATTTTTATCATCTGCCTCCCCCATAAGATCATAAGAGAAGAGCCAAATCTGTTTTAATCACCTATACACACCTAGCAAATGCCTGGACAGTGCTTATTATTATTCAACAAGTTTTTGTTGTTAAATAAATGAAAAGCACTCAGGATACTCTTTCTCCTGGGGGTGAGCGTCATTTCTTTTCACTACAGACCAGCTTGCTTGTACCAACTGCACCGGAGAGCACAGTGCCCCTTGGCTTCTTGCCTGGGAGACCAAGCCCATCTCCATTCTAGTTCAAAAAATCACTCAAAAAAAATTCTAGCTCAAAAAAACCCACAATGCCTGTGGTGGGCTAATCAAGTGGGTCTGAAGAGTCAAGCCATTTGGATAAGGAGGGTCGAGAAGGTATAGTTCCCAGAAGCAAGGGGTGTTTAGCAAGTTGGGTAAGTTTCCTGACCATGTTGTGCCTCGATTTCCTCATCTACAAAATGGGGGAAACCCAACAACCTAGGATTAATATGAGCATTAAATGAGATCGTCTTTTAAAGTGCTTAGAACGATGCCTGTCGTGCAGTAAGCCTGACTGACAATTATCTGGGTCTACAATTAAAAGGTTTAAAAATATCTACCAAACCATGCATTGTTCTAGAGCAAGGAGTCAGCAAACTTTTTCTGTCAAAGGTCAGAAAGTACATATTTTAGGCTTTGCAGGCCATACAATCTCTGTATGGATTACACAACTCTGCTGCTCTTGTAGCAAGAACAGCAGACACAGAAAATACATAAATAAATGGGCATGACTTTGTTCCAATGACACTTGTTTACAAAACCAGGCAAGCTGGATTTGGCTGCAGGCAATAGTTTGTTGACCCCTTTCTAGAGCAGTGCTGGCCAACAAAAATATAATGCAAGCCACAGATACAATTGAAAATTTTCTAGTAGCCACGTTAAAAAAGTAGGTGAAATTATAATGCATTTTATTTAACGCAGTGTATCCAAAATATTATTTCAAGATGTAATTGATATAAACAATTCGAAATATTTTGCATTCTCTTTTTCATATTCATTCTCCAAAATTCACTGTTTTACGCTTACAGCACATCTCAGTTCGTACTAGCCACATTTCAAGAGTTCAAGCCTTGCATAACTAGTGTCTACCACATTGGACAGCACAGTTCTAGAACATATGCTAATGTGAATAATGCCCAGATACACATCTATACTTTCAGCGTCTGAACACACATCAAAAAGTTTATACAATGCCAGCAAGAACAGGCACTAATATTTCACTGGATGTACCCAAAAGCTTGTAAATATTAGGCCAGGCACACACATCTGCACTAAAATTGCCTAAGCTCTGAGAAGTATTGAAAGATCATGGCAAAAACTTCCAGAAGCTGGTAACAAATCAGCAGGAGTCTAAATCTGTTTAGATCTTTACATCTCTTTAAAATCTAAAAAGAAATGTTAACTCTCCAGCATGACAAGGAGCCACTTCCTCTAGGGAGAGAAATGATGCACTGCGCTAGGACCCTTTCCCGTTAATGATGACCCCTAGTAAAAGTTCAGCGAGCGGGAGGGACCAGCCCTCGGGCCGGGTCTGGCCTGGGTTTGGGTTCCAGTGGGTGGGGTCAAGCAACAAGCAAAGCCAGTTGCTAACCGTCCCAGGGTGACAGCCCAGCACCCAGCACACACGTAGCGACGGCCCCAAGGGTTCTGGCAACTTCGGCTGAAGGAGAGAAGGGGGCGGGGGCTCCTTAGGGCCTACCCGGCCCCGGGCGCACCGGAGAGCCTCCGCGACCGGGGTGACCCCCCACCAGAAACAACGGCTCGCCCTCTGCCGGGCACAGGCCCTTACGAACCCGAAGCGCGGCTCAAAGAGAAGCGCAGGCGTAGCCGGCGAGACGTCAGCGGTCCCAGGGTCCACAGAAATCTTCCGGTCTCTGGGGGCTGGGACGACGAAGGCTCAACCAATCCAAGCCCACGAACCAGCCTACGCTAGCCTGGGACCCAGCGCATGCGTGTTAGGGAAATGGCGCCTGCGCAGAGCAATCGGTGGGGCGTGGGAGTTTCCTCCACGTTTCCCTGGAGGAGGAGCTCTGATGCCGCCGCGGGCTTGAATTGAAAGCAGTCTTACTAATGTTTTCTTTTTTCTCCTTTTTTAGCAGCGACTTTTGTTAAACCTGCTTTACAACTTACCCTTTCTGCTTCTAATCAAGGCAGTCAAGACAGTGCTCAGTGAGATGTTGACAGTAATTTAACACAGTAATTCTCCAAGTATTCATTTGCACCCTACCATGCATCCATTGATTTGAGAGTAGTAAATATTCATTAAGTGGTCATGTGCATTCTGGAATTCTCACTTGTGCACAAGAGTCCAGAAAAACCACAGTGATGGTTGAACTAGAGAATGTGGCAGCCGCCTTTGCTGATCCCCTATCTAAGGTAATTTGGGGAAAAGTTCAAGGAAGCAAAATATCCAATCCAATACTCTGGATTGGATGCTGCTGGGAAGCACGATGGATGTTTCTATGATTAAGTAACATAATAAATCTTACCTAGAAGGAGAGAAGACAAGACCAGTGACTCATTGGCCAGGATAGGGGATGTTTGGTCATTTTCGTGGTTTGGACAGTGTTCATGTTTTTTGTCAGCATTCCAACGTGATTGAGAAGGAGTCATTTTTGGCTTGATCCATCACATCAGAGAGTGGCCATACCTGATGTTGGTGTTCTGTGAAATTATTTATGTTCCACAGAAAACAAAGGCCCAGCTGTGAGTGCCCAGCCAGCTCAGAGCTTCTTGAGTTGCTTTTGTCTTTCTCTCTAGCCTTTAAACTATTACAGGACTAAGATGTTTACTATAGTAAATTTTAATGCAATGTTCACTTAAGGATTATATCTTGTTAAAGAAAAAATTGTTGTCACTTGTTGAAACATGGTAAGGAAGACTTTATGCAGGACCATTGAGACAGGTACAAGGACCACTACAAAAGGTTTTTGCAGTGAAGGAGAGAGATTGTGCTCAACTTCAAATATAGCCTGAGAAAGTGGGAATTTATAGCTAAGGAGCAGGGTGGAAATCAGTGGATAGAAAATTACTAAGAGGAAACATCAAGGGTAAGAGGGATTCTGGCTAAACCGACCTAGCAAGATTCTTGCTGAAGACAAGCCAGGTGATCAGATGTCCCCTGGGGGGGGGGGGGGTGGAGGTTGAGGAACCTGGTGAGATACTGAGAGTGATCAGATAGATATTGAGGGTGAGGGCTTCTTGCTACACTGACTTTGCAGGGCTCTTTGCTAAAACTGGATTTTACAAGGAAGTGCACAGATGGGCCTGGGAGAAGGCTCGGAGCCTGACTAAAGTTTGGTCAAGCAAAGCATCTTTGTCAATCTTTTGCTTGTTAAAAGAAAAACTTTAGACAATTTAGACAACAAAGAAAAACTTTAGACAATTAGCAGAATTTATTGGAGCAAAGAATGATTCGTGAATTGGGCAACATTCAGAGCCAGAAGAGGTTCAGAGAGCTGCATGGATAGTGAGTTATTATAGACAAAGGAAATAAAACACAGAAAAAGATTGATTGGTTGCAGCTCAGCCTTTGCTTTATTTGGACATGATCTGATCAGTTGGCAGCCTGTGATTGGCTGAAGCTTGGCTGCAATTTAGCTGTTTATTATACTCTTTTGTTAAGTTTTCAGTTTATTCACCTGCTAAATTAGGTTGCAGTTCATTGCATAGGAACTCAAAGTACAGAGACAGCCTTAGGCCAATGGCCTCTTGCTTATTAAACTTAACATTCCTTAATGATATTTCTCTTGTCTTCCTTTGTTAATTTCTTGGTTCATTTTCTGAATACTCTTGCCTTTGGAAATACTCATGTAAAAATATGAAGCACTATAGGCCTCCAGAAAAACAATCTCTAGTTTTAAACAGTGACCTAGGAAGAATACTTTCTTTGTGATCAGATTTGTAACATTCAATTCTTAAAATATCTAATATTTGTCAAAACGATTAAACTATGAAAGACACCACCTGAAGGAGTTAGTTTAGAAACTAGAAGTTATTTCAGAAACTCTGTCAGTAGAGCATTTAGGGTTTTTATAACGAATTTCTCGTGAACTATGTCCTGAAGAAAAAAAGTAGAAATTAGTCACAAGTCTAAAAACAAAAAACAAAAACAACCCAAGCTTTTCTTTGGTGTGAAAAAGAAAACCATTATTTCAACTCTGAGGCAAGCTAATGCAGTCCTGTGTTGTTCATTATAGTAACCACATGTGGCTATTTAGACAAAATTTGAAATTCAGTTCCTCAGTTACTAGCCAAATGTCAAGTTCTCAGTAGCTCCCTGTGGCTAGTGAGTACTATATTGGATAGCACAGACATGGAACATGACCATTGCTGCAGAAAGTCCTGTTGAACAGTGTTGGCTAAATTCATCTGGAATAAATGTACAATAGGGCTGCCAATGGATTCTAAAAACGTTGCTGAGAAGTTAGTTCTTTGGGGCAATTTTTAAGTAGAGTATCTATAAAAGCACTCACTTCTATGATCATTTATCATATATAGTTTTCAGGCCTTTGTTTCAAAATCATCTTTCAGCTGCTTTCAGACTCTGGAATTCTCTCTGATAAATTTCCTTTGGTGTAGTGGAACTAACTTTTCAATCCTTATTAAGTCTCTGAGTGGCAATATAGATATTCTGAGCTCACACAGACAGCCCTTTCCTGCAAATTCCCAAAGAACAGAGGCAAAATCCCGGGTCCTCTCCCGGAGGTTAGTGTTACACATTATTACTCAGGGAACAGTTACAGATGTTTTCCATGGAATGAGGTCAGAGAGACTGCATGTTTCTGGGTTTTAAGGTGCTGGCTGGTGTTCATTTCCTGATAAAACACCAAGACCAGACATAGGGATTAACTGGGGACATTCTTGTAAATCACACAACATAATGCATAGGATTAAAATGATGAATAGCTCCCTGGAAATCTCAGGAGTCACAGAATGTCAGAAAATAGAACAAAAAGGCATAGATTATAGAAACAGAAACCTTCTGTTTAAGTTCTGCAACATATTCCTAAGACTTATACCGATGACATAACAGAGACACAGGGAACATAGTATCTCCGATGAAAATCTCCCAACTCTGCGAAGAGCTAGTTCTAGCCTGGGCCAGGCAGTGTCTGGCTGGTGGGCCACTGATTGATTAAAGCAGTGATTCTCAACCAGGGGTGGGGGAGCTTTTGTCAAGCACATTAACCAGACTTTCTCCAAGCTGGGAAGGATAAGGGTAGGATGGGGAGGGAGGCTGTACTTCTGGTTTAAAACCATTTTTCCTCCCTAAATGAAAGATTCTTCACGTTTAAAAATTGCATGAGAACTTCCTTCATTAGTATAGCCTTTTCAACTTAATTGCTATAAATAGATGCTTGAATTGCATTTTTCTTTATTTTTTTATAAATCTAGGAATAACTGCCATACAGTAAAGTGCACAAATATTAAAATTACAGCTTGATCAAATTATAGCATATATCTAGCTGATCATCACCGAGATCAAGATATAAAACATTTCCCTTAATGGGCTCCAATCTCCATGAATTAGTTTTACCTGAACTTCATCAAATGGACCCATATTGTATGTACTCGTTTGAATCTAGCTTCTTTTACTCAATATTATGTCTATGGAATTCGCCCATGATGTGGATTTCATTCTGTATGGTATTGGATTGTAAGCATGTACCACAATTTATCCACTTTACTGTTGATGAACATTTGGGTTGTTTTCTGTTTTGGACTATTAGTAATAAAACTGTTATGAACATTTTATTCATGTCTTTCAGTGGATATAAGCCCTTATTTTCTTGAGTATATACCCAGAAGTAGAATTGTTGGGCCATAGGGTAGGTGTATATTAGTTTTAGTTAACACTGCCAAACAATTTTCCAAAGTGGTTGGTCCTATTGATATTCCCACCAGCAATGTATGAGAATTCTAGTTGCTTCACATCCTCACCAACACTTGGATTGTCAGTCCTTTTAATTTTAGCCATTGTAGGGGGACCTTTGTAGATCAATGGTTGACAACCTTTGCTACATGTTAGAATTACCTGGTGAACGTCTAAAACTCCCAGCAGCCAGGCGGTACCTTAGGTCAATAAATCTTTTGGATGGGGACCCAGGTATCAGTGTTTTTTAAAGCCCCTCTTCAGAATGTGAATTTTGAGCAGAGTGACGTGCAGGCTAAACATGGTGAGAGATCACTTGGGCAAGGGTGGCGTCCTTATCAGACCATTCGTGCAGTGGCTCCTTTCCCACGGCTTTCTGCTTCCAGCTGTGCAGCCCATTTCCAAGCTGGGTCTCTGGTCTTTCCATCTGCCTCACACTCCTGCTATCCTTGCTATAACTTTCCTCTGCTGGATCTATTGCTGTTTGCCTGGTGGCAGCCACACACACACATGCACACAGACAGCCACGAGGGGGCACTGCGGGAACGCTGAGAGAGGATTTAAACACATAACTGCTGCAAGTGCTAAGAGAGCTGTGCAACTGTACTTTGGATTCATCTTAGGAGGAAAAGGAATTTTAAAAGGAGTAACGGGGATGGAAAAGAAGGGGGATGTAGACATTTCTATCACTGTCCAGAAAGACTAATAGATGCGGGGCAGGTGAGGGTTCCAGGCTCCTGAGCAGCAGGAATGTTTCGTCAGGCGGTAGCCTCTGGGCCTGTTGGACCACCTCTCCGGGTTCCGATGCCATTCACCTCCAGCAGCCTGTTGATGTCCAGGGTCCATTGGCAACCTGGATGGCAGGCCAGGGGACATCCCCAATGTAAGAGTCATTGGTGGCTGGATTATACATGAGTCTGTGTGACTTCAGTCACAACCTGCCTGACGCTGACAGGTGAATTCACTCTAGGTGTCCAAAGTCTTTTGGCACAATATCAGCTA